TTTCCTTTAAAGCATGCACCTTAAAGAGCAGAAGAGGTGCAGCTCAGGTAAGTGCTTTGGCAGCCTGGAATGCTTTGCAATCTCTGTAGAGCAGGACATAACATGGTCAATCTCTCTTTCCCAGCTAGTTTACAGCACAGTAAGCTTGCTGTTGTTGATAGCGTGGAATAGCTGTACACTAGGACAATGGTAAACCTGTGCTGGGTAATTAAGCAGTGCAATTCCTGATTGCCTGGAATTTTAATATGTATAGATTGGAAATGTGTGGGAAAGGTTCACAAAATTTCCTCTGAACCTTGCGATATATGATCCTGCAATGGGTTTCAGTTGTGTTCAGTGCAAGAGTTCCTCAATGGGGAAACCTTCTATACAGAACTAATATTGTGTAACCCAAATCTGGGTGGGTTTTATTTATTGCCAAGTTAGGGGTTCACATTGTCCTAAGAGAATTGCTTTTCTTACTCCTGTGTGACTTCGGGAACAAATGGTATTTGTGCGTTGATTGATGTCAATAGGATTTCCACTACTGAGTGGAGGAGGTGGGGGTGGATAGTGATGCTGGGACCTCCTCTTAAATGTTGGCAGTGCCCCGACAGACCTGCTGTTTCTGAACAGAGAAGGGCTGGTGGTAGATGTGGTGGTTGCAGGCTGTCCTGGGTAGCAAGAATGAAATGATAAGGTTTTTCAATCCTCAATGAAGTATGGAAGGGGGCCAACAAAACTTCTGTCTTGGATTTCTGGAGGGGGGACTTCGGCCTGTCCAGGACACTGGTTCAGAGAGTCCTTTGGGAAATAGCCCTTAAAAACAAAAGGGTCCAGGAAGGCTGGACATACTTTAAAAAGGAAATCTAAAGGGTGCAGGGGCAGACCATCCCTATGTGCTGACAGGTGAATTGGCAGGGAAGACCACCAGCCCAGATGAACAGGGAGCTTTGCTGGAATACAGGGACAAAAGAGAGTTTATAACCTCTGGAAGAAGGGATAGGCAACTCAGGAAGAATACAAGAATGTTGTTAGGTCATATAGAGTAAAAATTAGAAAGGCGAAAGCTCAGCTAGAACTCAATCTGAGTGGCTAGAACAGCCACTGGTGTGAAAGATAACCGAAAGTGTTTTTATAAATACATTAACAACAAAAAGAGGGCCAAGGAAAATTTCCATCCTTTATTGGATGCAGAGGGGAACATTGTAACCAACGATGAAGAAGAGTCTGAAGTACTTAATGCCACCTTTCCCTTCGTCTTTAACAGAAAGACCAGTTATCCTCAGCTGACCTGGCCCCCTGAGCTGGTAGACAGGGACTGGGAGCAGAGCAGATGCCATGGTATCCAGGAGGAAGTAGTTACTGATGTGCTGTTCCACTCGGACACACTCAAGTCTATGAGGCCCAATGGGATTTACCTGATGGTGCTAAAGGAGCTGGTGGAAGAGCTCTCCAAGCCAATCCATCATTTCATCAGTCCCAGTTAACCAGGGAGGTACTAGATGACCGGAGGTTGGCCAATGTGACGTACATCCACAAGAAGGACTGGAAGGAGGGTCTGGGGAACTACAAGCCTGTCAACCTGACCTTGGTGCCGGGGAAGGTTATGGACCAGATTGTCCTGAGTGCCATCATGTGACATGTACAGGACAACCAGGGGATCAGGCCCAGCCAGTAGAAGTTTATGAAAGGCAGGTCCTGCTTGACCTGCCTGATCTCCTTTTAATACCAGATGACCCACATAGTGGATGAGGCAAAGGCTGTGGATATGGTCTACCTGGTCTTCAGCAAAGCCTTTGATACTGTCTCCCACAGCATTTTCCTGGAGAAGCTTGGACAGGTGCATTGTTTGCTGGGTAAAAAACCATCTGAATGGCCAGGCTCAGAGAGTGGTGGTAAATGGTGCTACATCCAGTTGGTGACCAGTCACTATTGGGGTTCCCCAGGGCTCAGTATTGGGGCCAGTCCTATTTAATACCTTCATTGATGATCTGGATGAGGGGAGCAAGTGCACCCTCAGCAAGTTTGCAGACAACACTGAGTGGAAGTGCTGATGGGCTGGAAGGTAGGAGGGTGCTGCAGAGGTATTTGGAAAGGCTAGATTCATGGGCCAAGGCCAACTGTATGAGGCTCAATAAGTTAAGTGTCAAGTCCTGCACTTGGGTCACAACAGCCTCAGGCAGTGCTAGTCTTGGAGAAGAGTAGCTGGAAAGTAGCCCAGCAAAAAGGGACCTGGGGGTGCTGGTCAACAGTGGCTGAATGTGAGCAAGCAGTGTGCTCAGGTGGCCAACAGGGTCAATGGCATCCTATCAATGGCACACTATCAAAAATAGTATGACCAGCAGGACCGGGTGTCCTAGTTAGAACACATGGGATCAGTTCATCACTGTGTGGGTGTAATGCAAACTGTGTATTCTACACCCTCCATGTAATTTCCCAGGAACTGTTAACAATAGACTATTTGCAGCAGCTGCCCAGAGCACACCTGACCCCTCAGGCTATAAGCTGGGTGTTAAGAGGCCTGTGAGATAGGAGAATATTCCTGTTCTCACACCCACTACCAACAATTGTGGTACTCCCCCCCCGGGGGAGGTACTGGACATTCCTACCTGAACCTGAGGGTATATAATCTTGTGGTCTTGGGACTTCTGGTACCACTCATGGGATCCAGAGGAGGACCAGAACCTCGACTGGACTGCGACCACCACTCTCAACCAGCCTGAGACCATCACTTGCACCAACAGGTTTTTCCTCTCCTTTTACTTTTGGACTCAGGGGACCACGTGGGGCTCAGCATGGGGGCCAATGAACACCATTCTGTTCATGCCCCAAGGTGCCAGGTTATATATCTGAGTTTTTGTGGGCTAAAACCAATTGTTCATCTGTATAATTGTATTTATTGTATTGTTTTTATTAAATTGTAGTTCTGACTAATAATCTCTTTTCAGTTGGGTTCATTGCTCCTGCCAGTTTACCTTTAAACCAGCACACCAGGGAAGTGATTGTCCCTCTGTACTCGGCACTGGTGAGGCCATACCTTGAGTACTGTGTTCAGTTCTGGGCCCTTCACTACAAGAAAGACATTGAGGCGCTGGAGTGTCCAGAGAAGAGCAATGGAGCTGGTGAAGGGTCTAAAGAGTAAGTCATATGAGGAGCAGCTGAGGGAGCTGGGATCACTTAGCCTGGAGGAGGCTCAGGGGAGACCTTATTGCTCTCTACCACTACCTGAAAGGAGGCTGGAGCAAGATGGGTCTCAGCCTCTTCTCCCAGGCAACTAGCAACACAACAGAGGAAATGGCTTAAGCTGCTCCAGGGGAGGGTCAGGTTGAATACAGAAGAATTTTTTCACTGAAAGGGTACTTAAGCATTGGAATGGGCTGCCCAGGGAGGTGGTGGAGTCACCATCCCTGGAAGTGTTCAAGAAACAGTTTACTTGGCATGGTGGTGTTTAGTCAAAGGTTGGACTCGATAACCTTGGAAATCTTTTCTGACCTTAATGATTCTAGGCCTTTACCATTACTGGGATTATGTATGCTGGAGGATGGTGAAATGGACCTCATGAGTGATACACAAAAATGCATCTGTACAGTTTTATCTATGTACATCTAAACCACTTCTTCACGCAGTTCAGATTCAAACCTGGCCTTTTGCCAAGTAAAAGATGTTGCTGTAGCAAGCGGCAGCCACAGCAGTGCTTCTCAGAAGACAGGCCTCTGGATGCCAGGAGCAGCCTGAGAAGAAAACATTATGTAAGGGAAGTTATCCTCAGTGTTACATAGCTCTAGATGGAAACGGAGAAGGAAAAGATGATGTGTAACAAAGATATAAAGTTCCCTTAAGAACACTTCCATGCATCCTTTTGAAGGCAAGAGTGTAGATCAGCCCAACTTCAGTAAAAAGGTATTGGTCAAGCTGTTGAGACATGTCAACAAGATAGTAAACACTTCCTCTGCTTTTACTTCATCTGCAGCTACCTTTCAGACTACTTCAGCTACTGCAGCCCCACTTCTCAGCAAGCACTGTAGTGCTTCAGGTGCAGAGGAAGAACAGCATAATTGGTAGATCTTAAAACCGGATGGTGTAAGAGGTCTATCCTGCATCCACTTTATTATGGGGCTGTGGTGGATTGAGTATTTCACTTCTTTCTGAAGAAACAGTCCTTACAGTAGAAGTTAACTGTAGGAGGTCAAGCCCAAAGAGACAAAAAGCAAGCAAGGATAAACTAGTAAGATCATTAGTACTGAACACCAGAAAAGTCTTGTTCCCCTGTCCCTTTGTGCATACAGGTCACCTAGCAGAGGAAGGAAAACTTCCAACAGCTTGGCAGCCCTATGAAATATCCAAGTACTTTTAACATTTGGGTCTTGAGCAGAAAATATCTTTCCAATGAATTTTTATAGTACAGGAACATTGGCATTAAGCATTCAAGAAATTAAGAACTTGAAACCAAAGAATGGCAAAGGACTAGTAAGAAAGCAACACAAATACCATGACATTTTTCAAGCTTATTCATACCAAGTTATTTGATAAATTATATAGGGTTAATAAATTACAATCCAGAGTACATCCATCATCATCTCCTTAGCTATTGTCATGCTACAATGTATCTTTATTATGCTTTTAACCCTTAACTGCTATGTTGCTGCCATGTCAATAGAGGAGAAGGAGAGTTTCATGGCAAGAGATCTTTCAAGTAGCAGGCAATTCACTACGGAAAAAGCCACTTTGAAACTGCTAATGCAGTCTTTGTAACCAGTCTCTCTTGAGGAAATCACCTTCAGAGAAGCATTAGCTGCAGTTGCTACAACAAATGTTAGTCTAGATAAGAACATGGAGTCACATAAACCGCCTACTATTCTTCAAAAACTGTGTTCAGTCAGTACTGTTCATAACACCTGTCACAAGGTGATACAAGGACATCAATGGTACGACTGCTGTAAGCAGAGTAGTTAACATAAAACTTCCTTTGCAACAGCTACTTCTCTTCTAAACTGGAATGAAGACAGTAAATAAAGAACTTGTATAAATAAAAAATGGTTTATTAAAACAAACAAACAAAAATAAAGTGTCACAACAAAATCACACTTCAGCGTGTGGGCAAAGGTCTGACTTTAATTTAAACTACATAGCCAGCATCCATGCTTCAAAAGTCATGTAGGCATGCAAATGGAAGGGAAGTTGGTGCCTTGCCGGCATGCTCCTCAAAATCTCCTGTCTTTAGAACATACTGAATTTGTTAGCAGGGTATGAAGTTTGAATTCACACAGAACACTGAGGAGGTGAAGAACAGTTGTTTTTATTTACACATATAGGATTTTCATAACCACCTGTCAAACAAATACAATTTGCTGCATTTCTAACAGCTGTGAAAATGGTGACAAATACGGGGGAAAAAATGCAGGTAAGCATGCATACTGCAAGATTTTTTGTAAATTTTTTTTCCCCGAAGACAGTTTATTTCTGAGGAAATATTTAATTTTATTTCACAAGTCTATGCAAACTACTTAGGTGAAAAGTACTCAAAAGACAGCCCTTTTAAATACTTAGTCATAAAGAATTACATGAGAGATATAGCTTTTGTATGCAGGTTAAGACTTTCCACACACACACAATGCTGCAATCCTCCTTTATAAAAGAAGGGAATGGATTATTAGAATGATATTCCTGAAACATTCTTCATTTTAAAGTAACTATTTCATTAATAAGAATGCTTTTAAATGAGTTATTATGAAAGAAAGCTTTCAAGATCATCCAAAAGGAGCTTATATGCATACTTTGTCTTCATTGCTAAAATCATCCCCAATGCACACTACCCAGGTCTATGGTTTATGTGTAAAGCATGGTGAAGATTCTGAAAAGACTTTTTTTATCGAAGAAGCTGCTCAGCCTCCTTGGACTTGCTTTCTTTTGTTTTCCTCAGTAATGCCTGTTTTATAGCATTAATCTTTTCATCAAGTTCAGCCAATGAATAGTTCTGCTAAAAGAACAAAATAAAAATCACAATCATTTACATCTTGTACTTGCTAGAGAAGTGGCCTAGCACTTGATACTTGAGGTCACTGCATATTGCACTAAGTGACAGAAATACTTTTGCAGAATTGTCTGAATCTAGTCTTTAGCTATTTAAAACTTGAAAAAAAAAGAATGTAAACTTAGAAGAAACAGACAGTCCTAATCAGAGATTGATTGATATAGCCATGTTACTTCTGTTAGATGTTTCTTTAATCTGCTCATAAAAAAACCAAGAAATCCTTTGATGTTAAAGCACTGGATCAGACTATATAGATCTTGTGGAACTTGGGTTTTTCAGCTGAAGGGTTTTTTCCTATTGTCCAACATCAAGCTCCTCTGCGCCCACTTAACCTGACAATCTTTTGATGTCTTCTTACACAAACTGGTCATCATCCTTTTTATAAAAATATTTCACCTTATGCAGGATTTTTTTCCTCATGTAAACAAGCCTACTTCCTCAAGTCTCAGATGGCCCACATCCCATTCTAAGCATTGTCCCTAGTTCCTCTGTCTCCAAGTATGATGGCTAGTAGCAGACAGTGTTCCAGCCACGGTCCCACTTGCACCAAGGATAACTTCTCTCTTGTGGTCTAAGGTACACAGTTAATGCATTCTCTTATGTGATGGTGGTGTGAAAATGGCAAGTCTTACTGACTTAGCTTAGTATCTGCTACAATGCTGGGTCCTTCTGCAATACTTTTGCTGAGCCAGCCATTTCTACTTTTGTCTCTTCATAAACCAATAAAGCAAATTGAAAAATAATTTTTAAAATCAATATAAACCATTAAGCCACAAAACAAAACCAGAAGGCATTACTGATCAGAATACAGAAATTGCTTGTTACTCCCAGCTTGATTCACATCATTACAGATTTGTTTTATTCTGTCATCCTTCTAACTGGTGAAAACACCAACTTACTCTAATATGGATTCTTAGAAGACTCATTTCATTTTAACACCTATTACCTTTCTGATTCTGTCCCTCTTTCTTTGCCAGCAAACTCTCCAATACTGATGCAGCTATTTCTGAGAACTCAGATATTTGCTTGGTAGAACTTCTGCTTACTTTTCGCTCAAAACATTCTAAACTTAAGATAAACAAAAGTTAATGGCACTTACATGGGGAGGTTGAACCTTTCTCCTCTTGCCAGAACAGCTCTGAAGAAAAGACATAATCAAAACATACTTAATGTTGCACTAACAGAGGACCACAAATAATTCTGTAACGACATTGACAAGAGTCTTTAAAGTAAAGAAAAAACACTGACTGCCATTCCATGGATTAAAGAAATCCTTTTTATAATTAAGTACTTTGGATCATGAGACATACTACTGGAGAAAAGTCAGAACCTGTTCAAGCTTCTCCATGCTTGGCAGTCAACAGCTATCAATTTAGCTGAAGCTTCCTTCAGACAGAATTGAGCTTTTGAAATATTTATGCAAAACTTTAGATAAAATATACTAATTACTGTGCAACACTACAATTGACATCATCACAAATTTTTCTACAAACCTCATTCTAGAAAAGACCCAAAGCACTTTCCATAGAAATTTCAGCTTATGAAAGTGTACGTTTTAACTTATGGTTTTCAACAACTTGAAGGAATAGCATCACAAAGAAAGAACTTCATTGATCTCCAATACAGATTAAAAAAATGAAACAAATTTATAATATTGCCATTTATTTTTATTGCTGACTCTTCTTTGGCTGGTCTCAAGGGAGAAGATATAAATTAAAATATGATCAACAGTAAGAAAGACATTCCTACTGTTACATGTGGAAAGAAGAGCAAGACAACTGACAAGAAATTTCTACAGTCAAGTAGAGCCCAACATAGTAATGACTAATGTTTTCTTTGTCCTAATATACTTCAGTGAGTGAAGGTTAAGGTGTACTATTCAGAAGGAGACAGAACTCTAACCAGAAACAAAGAAACCTAAATCATAGAATCACATTAATCCTTTTGGAAGTTATTCACATAGCTGATTGTTAATAATTAGATCACGTACAGAAGCCCAAAAGATTTCAGCTGATTTAAGCCATTAATGATTTGTATCAAAATCAAAACTTCAGTCAATTTTCTTGACATAAGAAACACTTCAGATTTTAGGGCAGAGGGGAGAAATCCAACCTCTGAGATATATTTCTCACAAATTATTTCAGCTTGAGTGGCTGTAATTTTTTCCTCCAACAGATAATATTTTCTTTGGAATGAGAAATTAGGTAGACATGAATATGAACTTGACTAGATGGTCCACATGTAATGTAACCATTGTTATATTACGTGTGGACCAGAGTTGTCTATCAAAAGTGCCTGCCCTCCGACTCCTTAAGTTTTTCTCTGTACATCAAAGATTTAAGCAAAAAAGGCCCAAATGCATCTAGGTATGCCAAAAGGTGAGAGAATTTCTTACTACAGATTGAAAATATTCAGGAGACAGTCCTTCCAGCTCAAGGATTTTATCTTCAAGCTTCTTAATTCTCTGATAAATGTCTCTTGGTACCGGACCACCTAAATACATCAGTACAAATGCAAAGAAATCAGGAAAAGCTCTTGAGTAACTTTTTAAACTAAAAACTGCAAATTTGACATGAATTCTTCAAGACCAGCTGTCAATCAGTAGCTGAAACAAAATAAATGGATGGGATAATAAAAAGGAAGGATAATTAGTATAATTCAGGGTAAAACCTAATTGATAAGTCAGTGGCAGTCAGTGAAGGCAATAAGACAACTTCAGCATTTGGCTGAAGTATGTCTGAAAAGATCCCTTGAACAACTAACAATCAATTTTACAATGCATTGGTCATACATGAAATGTTACCACTTCAAAACTGACAGCAGCATTAGAGAGGGCAGATGGGATGGCAGAGCACACATGAATTTAGCATTGATATCTAGGATTGTTCTGAAAGAAACCTATATCCACTGGGCATCAGAGGTTAGAGGACAGGTATGAGTTGTGCTTGACAAAAAACAACATTTGCCTGGCTATAGGTGGGAGAACAGGGGTGGGGAACGTGTGTGTCAAATGGAATAAAAGAGCTTTGGGGGACCAAAAAAAAAAAACAAAACCACAAAAACCCCCAACTCCCCCCCCAAAAAACAAACCAAACAAAAAACCCCAACCCACAACAAAACCCACAACCACCACAAAGACAACAGCAACAAAAAACCCACCTCAACCCATTTGCTGTTTTCATCTATACTACAGCAGCTCGGGCTTGTTTCCTCATGCAAAAACAGAACTTATCAAAAGATCAGTCTAAGGAAGCATCTTACTTACACTACACAGTATTCTATAAACTGAAATAACTGTTTATTACAAGTACTGGCTATTCCAATTAAAATGACAGTCTGGTTCTGAACACTGACAACCAAAGCCTTAGCAAACTTTTACTTCTTGTCACCCATTTCCTCTATTTCTGGGTCTTTTAGACAAGACAATTCTATTCCACAAACTACTGAAATAAGCACTAATGTTTGTGGGGTTTTAGCCATTCACCTATTTTGTCCATTCAGAGAAACAATTTTTCAGGTAGCTTCCCCTCCTTCAGTTCTGCTCTCTACTCAACACTCAGCAGCTACTAATTAAATTGGCTAACCTCTCACTCTTAATATTGCTTTCTCTTAATGTAAAGGGAAAAGAGCACTGCTAGCAATAGAAGAAGCTGTTCTGAAAAACAGCAGATGAGTCAAGATTAACTCTTCTGTCACCAGAAACAAAAATTGGTGAGCAGGTAGGTGAGGCATGTTACCTGCTCAGATTAATACTTTTTCCACAGCTGCTTGGATAAGCATCAAATAATCTTGAGATCTTCCCCATGAACGCTGATTTGTACAGGAGTTGAGTTGGTATTGCACGCTTTCACCTTCTTACCCTATACTGTAGTTAAGCTGACCTGTTCCTTCAAACAAAATTATCTATCATCTGTTATAGGCACAATGTGGAAGCAATGATCGCTCCTTAACTACCTCCAATCATTATCCCCAATGCACATGAACTGCAAAGCTACTACACCTAATTGTCACCCTAATACTGGTCAGCCACTTTCAAATTCTATTTCCATTCACAAAAGCCAGCTTATTTTTCAGACAGCTATACAGCTAAGCATGAAGCTCTCACTGCCACCTCAACTGTATCTAGGCATATCCTACTCTCCTTGCTGCCAGAGGACTTTAATAGAGTACATATTCAGAGGTATCTAGTAATCTAGTGAATGTTCACCATATTCCTAGAGAATGGATTGGCATCTATTCAGTATTCAAAAGACAAAAAAAAGTCAAGTGTGCCTGCAGTGTGATGTGTAGAAATTTCACTTTACAAAACAGGACAGAAGCCCATATCTTCATCTAGTAAACAATTTTCAAGAAAAATACAAATTCCTCCTTGATAAGTGCCTCATTGATTTATAATATAAAAAACTGGGGCTGTGGTGAGGAAAGCAACTACCTAAAACATGTCAGTAGCCTGGTGGCTATGGCATTTATTTTAGTGAAAGGTGTGGACTCATGTTTGCATGGCTAAAGGGAAGTACTGACTTCCCAGATTCTGGGAAATAAGCTTTACACTTAATTATTTCAAGAATCATCCATCGTTAGGAAAGGTTTTCAATTGTCCTCTGGGTTGATTCTGTCCCCAGGACATGTTGTCTACGAAGCAGCACTGAGTCCTAACCTCAGCTTTTCTTGTTCAGTGGGTCCAGTCAGGACAACTCTACTTACTATGAAGAACCCCTACCACCAATTATTCCACATTGTTTTAAATCCTGTTCTGAAGTGCCTCTCTCACTTGCCACCACATACAGTGTACATTTACTACCTCAGCATCCCAATTTGGGCTTAAACCTGGGTTCCATTTTGGGCATAGGATTATTGCACTTGGGGTCACTAAACCCTTCAGTGGATCTACCCACTGTTTTACAGTAACAATTTTTATAGACTTGCCCAGTTTTACCATAGTAATGATACCTGTAGTATAAACTAGCACACCAATGTCAAAATTAAAACAAGATACAAACCTGTTTGTAACCGTAAGTGTGCTTCAATGTTTTGCAATCTCTCCTCAACAGCTTGGTTTCCACAGTCATGCATGGGTAGGCTGGCTTTGTGACTAGACCCAAGTGCTCCTTCAGACCTAGTCTGAGGTCCGTATGTATTTACTACCCTAGAAACTAGGTCAAGAGAACACAAATTTCACATATGAAACATATATATAACTGAAAGAATCAAAATATTCAAATATAAAAACCTGTGTTAAATCAATTTCACACAAGTTTCTCATATGAAAGGTTCCACATGCATTAAGACTAAAAGTTGAAGTAAAAGTATTTTCCTATTTTTTGCATGAGCAACTAAACCAAACAAAAATCTAGGACTTCACATATGCAAACTAAAAGATTTACTCATACGTTCATGTAGAACAGCAGTATCAAGAATTTGTCATCAGTTGCTGATAAATAGCAGAAACCTTGATATCTATGTCAGCAGTTTTACATGTGAGCTGTTATGAATGCAAAGAAGAGGCCAGACCAAATATTACAGGAAGCATCATAAATACATGAAGACACAGGGAGGTAAACAACCAGAAGAACCAGTATGAACCTCAACAAGAAAGTTCACTTCTAATCTTTGTTATTTGGGTAAAAGCTTTAGTGACTCTACAGCTGATTCTTTTACCCATGCTGAGCCATGTCTTCATCAGATGATTTTGATCACTTCTCTTTAAGTCACAGTCATTTATTAAGTCCTTCCTGATACAACTACTGCAGTGTACTGTAGACTTAAAGACTTTGTTGGCAGCTCCAGACACTGAAGCGCGCACACACACACACACACACACCTTCTTACTCAGTATTTCATGAAGGCCACATGCTACATTCTTGCTTTAGTTGATGCTGGTTTTACTTCCAATTCCTTTCTATTCTATGTCTATTCATGTTTCAGTTATGAACTGTTTCTTGAAATGCAAACTAGCACACAGTTTAAAAAACTGACTAAGTGAAAGAGGTTCTTAGTGAAAGATCCTAAAAATCAAACTCACTTTCCCATCTCCCTCTTAGCTCACCAGACCTTTCAATATCTATCATTGTGCTTCACAGTATTATTCTGAATTATATAATTCAGAATAATTAATTGGTTTTTAGAACCAATATGAAGTGGATAACTGAATACTACCTCTCTCAAGAGAGAGACAAGGGTTACTTTCATTCTCATTTTGGGTATTTTTTTTTTGTTTTTAGACAGGATAACTTGTGTACACCTAGAGAGGAGCAGATGGACAAGCAATATTTTATACATAACTTCTGTTGGACAACCATTTCTATACTATTTACTCCTTTCTGAAAGTTAGTGCAGTGGTAAACTTGTTCCCCAGCCTGTCACTTCCCATAAACCTATGTCTTGGAACTTTCACTGTGTCCCAAAACTATTTTCTATTTCAATACATTACATCAACTAATGAAGAATAGAAGATAATTCTATTTCATTTCCATTCCTTAACTGAACTGCTGGCTTCATCTTTGAAGAAAAGCTAAGAATTGTTCAGCTTCTCTGTCCTGCTTTATCTTTTGCACATTTCCTTTCAGACAATGAAAACAGGCAATTTTGTTTTGGTCTTTAGCGCCTAAGCATTAGTTTAGTGAAGCAGATACGGGATTGAAAACCTTGGAGACATAACTGAAGATGGAAAATTATTCACTAGAGTCAAAAATCAACACGTTTGCATTTTTGAGCATTATACAAAAAGTTCTGAAGTCAAAAATTCATCAATGCTATTATATCTGGACAATTAATAAAATGGGTATTAGAAGAGTTACTTACCCTTTATATGGCTTTTAAATCCAGGGTAGGGTGTGAAAATTGCATCTGTTCTGGCACAGCTATTTTCTAAATAAATAATAATATAGAAAATGAGGTCTTAATTATGTATTTATAATTGAAAATATTCTAACCACCATCAGCTTTGATGCTTTTACAAATCTAATTAAAACGTTTCAGACAATAAAAACCATCAGAAATACTTCATTCATTCTATAAACACCTGCCCATTAATAGTTTCATACACTTGCATGGACCTACTGGTTTTAATTGGATAAGTCTCTCATATAAATGTATGCACACATGTACATAGAAGTTTATTGGATCAGGACTAAATTTAATTGGTTCTTACTTCTCACTGTGTTTCTCTGTAACTTATTTCTTTCTTCCTGTAGAAGCCTTTTTCCTGCTTACCAGTGTTATTTTGGTTTTATGCCCTTTTCTGAAACTGTCCTCGTATTTTTAGGCTGATATAGTGTACTCATCAGCATTCTTTTCTAAGTCTTCCTGCATTTATTCTGATGCCTGTGATTTATTGCATTTGTTTAGCCATAAAAACCTACAGTAGAGACCATCTCAGTTTATTCTAATGTTTACATTTTAAACTCTGTTCATATACATGTTTATGTATTTTATTATGTCTGAAGATACCAAGAAAGATAATTTCTTCTGTATGTAATTAACAATTTCAGGAATCAGTATTTTACTATCTAGCATATTCTACTAGACTTCAGATGTCATTTGAATTCCAACTAACATTCAAGGAATTACACTCTCCTAGAAGCTTATGGAACAATACACATTGATCTCCAAGAGCATAAGTACATTATAGAGACAATGCACATCTGGGTTCACAGGTACTTAGAAAATGTCTCCATACCACTTATGTATCTAAAAGTGTCTTCACTTTTAAGATGCACTTGCCTACACGGTTACTGATTGTGTAAATGGAATCCAGCCTACTAGATGGATTTAAGATTGTTTGGTTACAGATACAGCCAATTGTACCAGCTGGTGTATGTAAAACACCAACAGCATGAGCAATGTTAAAAGGAAAAAGTTTTTTTAAGTAGTTAGTAATTCAAACTAATCGTAAAAATAGTTTTTTGTAATTTAACTAGCATTAAATTAACTTCAGTTGGAATATGCAATTCACAAGACATTTCTGAATTGCAATTCCATTTACTTTGGAGGAACACTTAGTTAAGCACCAGGAACAATTGCTACAAAATCATCTGATCTAAGATAGAAATTCTTAAAATGAACATAGTAATAGCTATAATCTTTCTGTATGAGATGCATTAAATATTGTCATTCAGTGACTACTTTCTTTGTTTTTCTGACAACTGCAGTGCACATGCAAGTTCCTAATTTTAAAACAAAGTTACTCATAAAAGAAAGTTCAGTTTTAAATATAGATTAGTGCTTTTGAAAATAAAAAAATTATTAAATAAAAAAACCCACACAACTTAAATTGCTATGAAGATTAAAGTCTGGCTAGCCAGTTACCTTGATTACAATCAATAACATTGCAAAATTCCCTGACATTATTTTCATTGATCTCAGCTTGTTTCCTCTCGATGAAGGCTGATATCCGCCTGTCAATCTGCAGGTAATAAACATGATGGCATATATCTACTTCATTCTTTAAATTTAAAATTTAGAAAATTTTTTTTTTGCTTGTTTGTTTTTAAATTTAGGTAAATAACTTACTTCTGCTTTTCCAGCTTTTATTTGGACCACCTCTGGATCAAAATGAATACGAGCATCCCTCAGATCTCCCAAGTCATAACTTGGATACTTTTCTTCAGTCTGACAGTTACTATCATAAATATCTGAACTTGTTTCACAGGTTTGGCTTTCTGGTTTACCTGCAGGTTCAACATGGCCTATATTTTCCTCTTTAATCAAAGCCTGGAGTTTTTCTAAAAGAGGCTGAACAAAGAAAACTGTATGTTAGGGTTAAAAAAAATAAAAGGCAAAAAATCCTAAAAACAAAAAGCCAAATACTACCACAATTTCCAAACCAGACCAACAGAAATAATTTTTGGGAATTACAACATCTTCCTCTAATGGAGCACAGTAATAAGATTAGAAAAAAGCCTTCCAAGTACTGTGCACACCATGACTCTGACCTTTTTGACCTGTGTCTTTTAGAGATTTGTAGAGGAAAACTCCCAAATTTCTGTGACAATCTGTCTGTACTCCCTTGTTACTAGCTGAATCAAAGCTTCAGTGCTGGCATCATTGCCACTTAATTAACATGTCATTCAAATGCTTACTCAGAACAGTAAGGCTTAGTATTTTTTCCTCCTTAACATGAAAGCCAGTGCTTTTACACTGTAAAGCCTTTACCTTATCACCACAGCACTAGGTTCTCCACTTGAAACCACAGTTGCCCAACTGAATGAGAGAACACAGACATGAAATATGTAGGCATTACCCCGAACACATGCTTTGCTTGACACGGTTGATTATCTACTTAGGTCATGAAATTAAATGAGAGAATGCACTGACATTTGTAGTGGCAAAAATGCTTATTCTACTGCACTAACTCTTACACACGATGTAATAACAAAACCTCAGTACATATATATGTCACTGCCTCTTTTTTAATTTTTATCAGTTTCACCTAATCTGAATACCATAGCTTTATTTTCTCTCCAGTAATTATTTTACTTTTTTAAAGACAACATGATTTTTACCAGTCATGTTTCCTTACATGGAATCAAATTCCTACTTGCAGTGTTCTTACAGCTGGATGTAAATTTTACTTGCTTTTATCTTGCATATTTTCTCTTTCTGTTCATCACACCAAAGATTTGGTGGATGTCTGGAAAACAAAGGGTCTTTCTTTTACCTACAGACAAGCAAATACAGAAACTTCCTTTTTCATCCTCCCAGTACTACTCACCTGAAATAATTTATTGACTAGCTGAAGCAAAATACTGGTATTCAAATCCCCATCTTTTACATATGAACTATCAAAGTCAAAACACTATTTAGTTACTAGCTGACAAACTGCTAACCCTCCCTGCCATGCAACTAAATTACACATACTTTTAGCAGGGTAGGAAAGTTTCAAATAGTTAAAAGAAATTACAGTAATGGTGACTGGCTACTTGGCAAGATGGGACATTAATGTCAAAGAAATTACTCTTTAAAAAAAAAAAACCTACACTGAAAATATATTTAATTGCAGTAAGACACTCCAGGATGTGTCATGCTGGGATAATGCCACTTCTTGAACCACTGAAAGCACTCTATGAGCCTCAAAACTCAGCCAACGCATGGAATCATTATCATAGCATGACACACACCTGCCGTGTCTTATTGCTTAATTATAACCCACCATAGATGGAAATGTATCACATTTACAATGCAAGTCTAGAAATCAATGAGGCTGCATTTATTCAGCCTGCTCACCTACAGTGGCTATTCCCAACACTAATCTGAAAAAAACGTAAGTGTGAGTACCTATGGAGTATCGTGGAATCCCAAGCATTTAATACTTTTGCATTCCTTTTTTGTTGAACAGAGCAATGTAAGATCAAAATTACTAAAATTTTACAGTTTACATATATAACTACTTCCAGTTGTTGATCACTTTTGTCAAGTCAAATGTGTCCCATGAAATATTTACCTGTAAACATAAAATATGCTGCTGAAGTGCACTAAAGAGCAATGCTGGCTGAAGTGCTGATGTGCTCTGAAGCTTGCTCCAATTGATTACAACTTTCACGATATCGTCTCCGAGGTTAAGCTTCAACAGAGCAAAATAAACACAATAGAAAATTATGTTATCTGTATCAGCATCACAGAACTATACAAGACTTCTACAAGATAACAATTATGCTCAGTCTCATACAGACCCACACCCTTTTTATGAGGACATTGGAAAGGTTTGATATTAATTATAGTCCAAGCAGCTGTCGTGGTATTTGTAGAGTATATTCAAAAATTAAAAATTCCTTACTAAGTCATCATATTGTCATTGTATTAATCTGGTCCTTAGCTTTATTCAATTAATTATTGTACAAAAACATACCATATATGTTGATCACTTGTACCAACTTTTAACAGATGCTAGAACCACCAGTAGGAAGAAACATGCATCCAGGATGACAATCTCCTGTATGTTCATGTATTTTATTCTGAGATTTGTAAGACTATCTATGCCTGCATGACCAATGTCTTGATGTGGCACCATGCCACATTCTTGAATGTTTTACTTGCTGCAAATCCAAAGGAAGCTTTGCATTAAAAATAAGTGTATAAAAATAAATATTTAAAAAATCTCAAGGTTAAACAAACTCTAGACTACACAGCACCACTGTCAAATCCATTTCCAAACCACACTATTTTCCTGTATATGCATTTGGATCAAAATAACAATTGCCACAGTCTATTCTCTTTGCCAAGGAATTGCAATGTTTAACACCCAAAGCAACAAACACATAAAGTGAATCTGAAGTTTTATTTAAAAGAACTACATATCTTCTATAAGCTAAAAATAAACTTTCGCTTTCTAATACAAAGCCAATTGCCAATGATCACTAGTTAACTACACACATTCATTCACACCCACCTTTGCCATTTTTGTTATACTAAAACTCTTCAAGATCTTGAAGTAATGAGCACTTTCACTTCTTAAAGAAGGTTTTTCTTCAAACAAACATTCTGCAAGTGATCCCCAAATTCTAAATACAGATAAAATTCTTGTTTAAAAACCAAGAGGACCTACAGGTACTCTGCTTGCCACACTGAATTTCCAATTTATATGCATATTTGTATGTCTATCCCTCACTCCTCCTTCCATTAAAAAAGGGGGAGCGGGTGAAATAGAAAAAGGTACCTCAGGAAGATGACAAAAGTGACCTTGAACTTATGGTCTAAAGACATCTACCTTCTAACAGCATCAAATATTACAGATGAGAACATAGAATGCATATGCACTTGTTTCCTGAATCCACTGCACAGAGTACAAGGAAACAATGGGAAATGAATACAAGACTGCCTCCATCATTCTGAAGGCAAAGCTGTGGATGATAAGTTGTTCCACATGAGTTATCACAATTTTGTATATAAAGAACTATAAGCCTGAGCCTTCCTTCTTTAGTCAAAGATCAGCCTTTTTAAATCCAGCAGTAGTTCTCATAGCAAACAAGACAGTCTGACTAGATATATAATGTATTTTAGACAATTTTCACACAAATTATTATTCCCGTTTAGTACTTAAGCTACATAGGATGTAAAAAAAGTAATGTTTTAGGAAATAATAGTTTTGAATACCTTTCAAAATCAAGAATATATTTAGAATTCAGGAGAAACAAAATTTACTTTAAGAATTAAGCCATTGTGTGTATGCCATCATCTGAAACATGTATTTCTCCACAGAGTTTCTACAGTAACATCTCCTATATGCTCTATTACAGACCACTGTCAGGGTAAAAAAGGTGCAGCTGTAAGCTGTCCTAATGAAACAAAACAGAAGTTCTACTGCAATTTCCTAATAGGCCTCCTTTTTCGAAAAGAATCAGCTGATGTGTGCCTTCATATCATAGTGTGTCACTACTGTCCAGGTGGTTCAATGTACAAAACCATCAGAACTTCTGACTTAAAATAATTTAGAGGCCAGTAACATTTTCAACTCACAGACACAGTTTTTAAATACAATTAAAGAATAAACCCCTCCTCCATCCAAACAAGTTTCTAGTACAACAGAGTAAGTTCTTGGTGTTTCACATCCTTATACCTATTAGAACTGTCACAAACAGGTTTATAAATTCAGTGTTTTGATAACTTCAAGGCCTTTGTTTATAACTCCACAGCCTATTCTACAGCCATTTACAGGATTGTAAGTCATTCCAGCTCTTTGAAATCTGTTTTAAGAAAAACCACTGTCACTAGAGTTTTAAAGAACTTTTCAGGATCAACCATATCAGTTTTATGAGTTGTTATTCTCAGAAGTCCTCCCAGTCACTGTGCTGCAATTGACTGCCCTAGTAAAAAAATTACTGCACCAGAAATATTCCTGTTTACAACCCAACCTGCTAGCATAAATCCAACTTAAACTACTATGACAGCCCACAAACTGTGACTGCTAAGAATCTGGCACATGCTCACTCATCTCTATAAAAGGAAAATGGGGAGTCCGTACTTTCAGTCAAAAACGCAAGACAGATTGCTAGAGTCAGTAAGTGGGTAAAACACCACAGTTAAATCTAACTCAGGTGCTGGGAGAAAGCGTTTAACTCAACAGCTGGAAAGGATCTTGACTGAGCAATTAAAATGACTTTCCCAGCTAAGATGGAGCAACCAGACCCTTATAGTTCAGTGCAATGGACAGTAAAATGGGTCTGCTGTCATGGAAATAAGACACTCCAAACACCAACAAAGACAATAAAACTCTGCACTGTAACTACTGGAACTCTACTGAGGGGATGCAACAACTCTAAACTGGTCTCTCACAAGTGTCCATGCACACCCAGTTATTTTTAAAAATCACTAAGCTCTCTCCAGTGACATGCTACCTGTACAGCAAATTTTGGAGAACAAGTAAGCTACTGAAGAAAAGAGAGAAAGTAAGAGCATTTAATGTAGTTTTGAAAACAATCACTTAAACTTGTGATGAGTACCCTGGTTAAGAGCTTAGGAAACTTTCTCATTAGTCTTCTTTGCGGTTTTCATAAATACAAGAGTTCCATCTTTTCACTGACATTAATGTTCTAAGAACAATACTATGAATAACAGTATTACATCTAGATAAACTGATATTCACTAGTTCTTCACTGGTCACATTTAGAATTTTCACCAGGAAGAATTATGGGGCATTTCATCCTCACTACCTAACTAGTTTTCATGTCTCTGTGTATGATTATGAGGTTGTTCAGCACTGCACTCCTATTCAAAAGCTAGGGTAGTTTTTAACCACTTCAGAGATAGGAAAACTGAGACTCTTACTACTCAGTGCCTGAGTTTTTAAGCCCTTAATTTGGGAGGCTGTTTGTTGAAAACTGAGACAATTACTAGCAGATTTGGAGGTGAGAAGCAAATATAATACAGAGTTCTAAACAGATAAGAGGTGAAATAATCTAAAAAATAATTTCAGATCAGCCAGCAGCTACTACTAAACTGCCTCTGTATCTGAGAGTCCATTTCTGAGTAGTTCTCTTACATAAACATACATTAAGTCACACTAGCTCCTGCAGATATAGCTCATCATCTGGTCCCAAACCTCTGGAGTGCTAATTTTTGAAGCAAGAGTGTACTTCTACTGCCTTCAGAGAACTACATATATGTTTCCACAGTGGAAAATAAATTAATCTGTAAATTATTTACAGTAATAGTTGTTACTAAAATCTTCTCCTGATAAGGGCCTCCCACCACTACTGTAACATCTGTTAAATAATTCATAGCCATTACTCAACCTAAAGTAGGTGTTTCAACTTAAGTACCATAGAGCAAAGGTCCTTTAAAAATTCTGACCCACTGAGATGCACTGTTTGTTTCACAGTATGTTATTACCACGGCAGGGCTAACTTCAACCTCCTGATCCGTTACACACAGTAAGCTTTCAGTAGCGTTTCAATTCAGAATCGCTGAATGTGAAGATAAAACAATTAGGCAGATTGCAGTTTCCCACGGGAGAGATCATCCGCCAAACTACGAAGTGACACGAGACGTCCCGTCACTACGAGGGAAAGGCACGGCCCCGGCTGTGAGAGAGCAGCAGCAGTACCCTTCCGCCCTAGGCTGCCCGGGCCGGGACGGAGGGAGAGGGAGAGGCCGCCGGCACCGCCTCCCCGGCAGCCACGCTCCTGCGGGCGGGCACGAACAACCGCCAGGAGCGGTTTGTAGCAGACTTGTGTACTCTACAGCGCCGTAGTCTGTTCCTGGAGCCGGGGAAGGCCCCGCAGGCCGGACACAAGCAGGAACGCGGGGCCCCGAAACGAGGTGAGGTGAGCTGGGCGCGGCGCCAGCCCCGCCTCGGGCCTCCCCCTCCGCCCGTTCCGCACTCACCTGCCCCGCCAGCCCGGCCAGGCAGCGCAGGGCGCTGCTCGCTACCTCGGAGGCCGCGGGGTTCATGTCCGGAGCGCTGCCGCCGAGCGGGAACGAGGCGGGTGCTGCCGCCGCCATAACACCGAGCCTGGCTTGGTCGCCGTCGCGCCGCGATGACGAACCCTGCCGCTGGCCCCGCCCCGAGCGCTGATAGACAGGCGCGGCAGCCAATCGGGAGGGCTCTCCGGCGGATCGGCTCAGGGCGCGGGCTGGAATCGCGGCTGCGCAGTGCCCGACCCTGCCAGCGCACCTTGCTCCCGCATGCTTCTCTCTGCCCCCGGGCTTCATCCTGCCCTGCAGCAGGCTCCCCGGAGCAGTCAGCACGAGCCCTTGTCAGGCACGCTCATAGGAGGACAACAAGTGTTTATTTAAGCGCGTCAGATTGTTGCCCTTGCTTCAGCTGTGTTTTTCTGGTTACACCTTCGCTCTTTTTTTTGCTCTTCAAAGACCTGGCTCTTCAGGTTACAGCAGGGTTGTTTTGAAATCAGTCTACAAGGTTTGTCAGAGTACTCTGATTATTGGGATTGCAAAATTGTGTTCCCTGTAAGATGGTCTTAATTCTTTCCTAAAACAGTGTAAGTGCTGACAAAGATTTTCTACCTGATGCTTCCTTTGATACCCTGATTTTGCTCCTTTAGCCTTCATACTAATTCCTGTTCTCTGACACCCCCCCGCCTCCAATATTTTTTATTCTATTGGAAAATGGTAAGTGCTGTTGTATATACAAGTGTGAAAACATTCTTAAATAAAAATGTTAGAAAGGCAGATAATTTTTTGACAGTTATTTTAGGGGTTACTTTAAAGGCATTTCCCTATAAAGTATCCAGATAAGACTTACCTAATTTAGTGAAAATAAATCCCACTAAACTGAAGGCATTCAGCAACAGCAGCCAACAATATGTCAGAAGACTTGAGTAGATACAGCTCTGCTCAATTCCAGAGGAAAATAAGTTCCAAAGAGGACTTGAGTATTAATGATTACAAATATATTTCATGGAGAGCTGCAGTTAGCAAGGATATTTTAGCTAAGGTGAGCTAGATGGCATTTAGCTGGATTCAGTTGATGAGAACCATTCTTTGGATTCAGAAATGCTTACAGCAGAATGTGGTCATGAGTTGGAAGCTGTGAAATATATAGCAATTTACTTAATTCCTGAAAAGATACTGTTTTTGTCAAATGACAACATCTTGAAAACATACACAGAATATGTTAGTCAATTAAGATAAATTGTGAAATTTTGTTTCACATTTCTGTGCAACAGTGTTAATTCCAGCTCATAGTCAAGCTGTGACTGCTTCAGTCTGCCCTACCTCTTGCAGTTTTGTCTCCGGACGGGCAGCTGAAGCAACTCTGCAAAATGTAATAATCTCATTTGGATCAAATCATGAAGCTTTCAGAAAAAGGGAAAGTACATTGTCCTTCCCCCACCAACACTACAACATTGAATAAAGGTGTAAGTAATTTTCTGGTTAGAACAGAATATGGAGCATAGATGTAACAACCTGGCATTGTTTGTTGCTTCTGTGTCAGAGGAGACAGTTTGCCCTGGCTGAATTCCCCATGATCTGCAAAGATGGAGCAAGTCCAGGCATTTGAATCGAATTTTAACTTCAAGTCATGAACGCTCAGCTACCGGATAAATTCCACTTTGGGAAAATGCACCTTTCCTGGAGTGATAAGCAGGTGTGTGCCTACTTTAGCAGCAAGTGCGTGTAGCTTTCTTAGTTGAGTGACCTAACATCTTTCCTTTGCTTTTGAGCACGTAATCTTTACCTCTAGCAAGAGGTTGTTTTGGGGTACAAAACGTTTCAAGTGAAAAATACATAGGTAAGTATATAAATGTCAGAAAGATACTGGAGGTTACGTTGCCATATACTCAGAATTACAAGGGAGACTGAGTGAATGTGGACGATATCAAGAGATCATGGAGGCAATACATGGTTATTTATTCAGTGATAATTATAAGAGTAAGCAAAAGACCGTGAAGTAGTCTGTAGAGTTGTTGATGTCCACCTATTATTTACCAAGCGAAAACTGGATCTCAGTCTTCTTCCTGTTGATTACAAATATCTTCTCCTAAAGAAAGAGTAACAATTCCCATGGGTAAAGATTTCCTTCCTACTTTCACTGTCTCAGAAGACCTTGATCTGTGTTGCGGCTGCTGACTGGATAAATTCAGTATCCTCTGAAATGTCACAGATTAAATTATGCAATGCGTTATGCAAACATGAACAGAAGTAATCCAAAGTAATATAAGAGATTAGGAAAATGAGAGCATGTGAGAAAATGAGAATAGGGAAAAAACGTGGAAATACAGCTAAGACAGAATATGTTAAATGTCCATGTCTAATGGAAGAGACAGGCCAGAGCAGAATGGTTCCAAAAGATGATTGTATGCTCACTGCATGTAGTGCACGGTAAAAATGAATGCACTTGCAATTGCTTCTGGCAGTAAAACTGGCCACAGTAAATCCAGGCCTCCCATAAAGGCAGAGGAAATTATATGGCATGCTTACTAAAGCTGGTGAAACAATAAAACATTGGAAGCTCTCATTGCTGGAAAGATACTGGTAATTTGGAATTAATTTATAGGAAACTGGCAAGAAGTGGATTGCCGGAGATAGACATACTTGTTTAGAAGGAATCAGAAGATTTAAATATGTCTAACTTGGCAGTAATGTCCAGCTATTTTAATAATGTGACTACCAAAGGAGGGAATAATCTGCAATTGCTTTCAACATTCAAGGATAGAGTTATCATGATAATATTAAGTTATCTGCAGTTTTGATCCCTGAAATGGATCTGTGAGGGCTATAAAAGCTTCTCCCATTAAAACCACCGTGAAAAATATAAGCACAAAACCATTAAGTTCTTAAATAGCAAATATTGTTGTTGGATTGAAATGCTTTTCTTTTGATGTTGGACTATTGCTTCTTTTTATTTGATTTGTAAAATGATAAATACATACACCTCTTTCCAACTCTAGGTGCCTTTAAACACTTTAAAATCACAGTAAACTTCAGTAAATTGAAACAAGTTCTGTTTGCTGGTCACCACTGTCATAACTGCTAGCAGTATTTCTTCTGCTGAATATTGCATTACTATAATTTCTGAACTCATACTTTAATTTTGTCCCTAACACCCAAATAAAGGCAGGTGCTTTGCAGAATGTATCAGTGGTTGAAGCTTGTTGTGCTCAAGAGCGAAGTGTTAAGCTAAGGAGACCGTGTAAGGTATAAGCAGATTTTTCTCCTGAATTGCAAAACTTGTGCTGTGTACTTCTGCTTACGTCAGCTGTAGCACAGAGAAAGGTAAAAGAGGTAATACTTCAGAAAAAATACTTTAACTCAAATAATTTGGAGCTTCAAAGTTAAAGACAATACCCTGAATTCTGCCCAGAGCCCCAGGCAAGTGGTGCAGCTTGACACCAACTGCTGTAAATGTAGTTGTCCTTAATATTCAGATTATCAATGCTGCTTTAAATTATCTCAGTTTATAAACAGAAAATTGGTAGTATCCTACTCGTTGGATTAAAATGGGACATGACCAGGTCCCTCCAAAACAAAAGCTTTTATTTATTTTTCCACGCATTAATTTCAGAATTAAGAGCACTTCTGTTGCTTCCCAGATACCCAGGAGAAGGCATTGCTCCCACCGAATTTATGGATCCTGGTTCAGCACAATAATTAAGCTGGTGCCTAATTTTAAGTACTAGCCAGCTGTAAAAAACTCAACCTGCTTCCTTAAAATGTACTCATGCTTATTAACTTCATCAAATAAGGCTCTGCATTGCAAAACTAATTCTCCAATAGGAGCTGCATTTTTTCAAGGCAAATATCTTCGCTGAATTTTGGTGTTTCTCTCACTCTGTCAAAATTTAGAAAGCCCTGCTCAGACGGGATTGGAATGGGATTTGTATGAAATGTCCTGTGGGAAATACAGCTATGATGTTAAAGGAAAAAAACCCTGAACCCGTAAGTGTCATATATATACATATATATATATATATATATATATATATACACAAAATTCAGTAATTTATTTCTTCCTAACATCCATGTTGCTGTTGCCCAAATTCTGTTTAGTGTCCTTATCCTGGCACGAACATAGACCCATGGCCCTTCCTTTCTGAATTCTTTTACCCTCCAGATTTTCTAATACTGTTCCATGCTTTGCCATACTTTGGTCTTTATTTTTCATGTCTTTGTTTAGTAATTTTACACCATATTTAAATTTTATCTACGTGCCTGCCCCCCCTTTTTTGCTGCTATATGCAAATAAGATTGATACTCTCTGCACAAAATTCTTCAGTTCAGTTATATAATTTGGGATCGAGAACTGACCCCTGCAAGTCCCAGCTCAACAGCTCTTCTTAGAAGTCAGCAAACTATTATTATAATTATTCTGTGTTCACAAATTCCAGACTTCTATAGCTACTTTGAAATATTTGAATATAAATCTCCTTCCTATCATTCCTTGTGAGACTATCACATGAAAATGTAGAAGGTATCTTGCAGAGTAGGTGTCTATGCTCACAGTGTTTCCCATCTGTAAACTGTCAATAATTTGACAGATGCAATGTGAAATTAAGCACTCACACCTGAAGACAGTCTAAAATGTAATAATTTTCCGTTGCATTAATATGTACATGCTTCACATATTATATATTTAACTCAGGTTTAGCGGGACACTTGAAAATCTATATTTAACAGGGAAACAGGAATATAGCATATTTATTTCAGAGAAAATTTAACTTTTGGGATTCCTTGATTACTGAGTACTTGATTTTAAAAGATGTAGCTTGCATCTTTATTAGTATAACTTGACTATTATTTTAAAATAAATAATAGTAATAGTTGCTTTGGAATATTTTAAAAAGGGTTCTTCAACTGTGCTATGTACAAGCTTTTCACATAGGTACAAGCCAGGTCTTTTTCTAAATATTATGGTTTTCCTACCCTTTTCTGTGGAACAGTTGCACTGCTCAAATTTAAATTTAACTCCTGCTTCAACAGTTCAGCTTATAAATTTCTGTACCCCATAGCTGGACAGTTATCATCTAATAGATCACATCTGTCATTATTGGTCTGATCAGTCC